TATCCATAATGCTTGAAACGCTTCATTAGAACTTTTTTCTATTACTTCATAACTTAATGACTTATCAATATACATTCCCACTCCACCAGAACTCAAAGTCATACCCTCGAAGTCATACCCAGGCATTTGCGGGCAATTAACATAGTTATTAGATCTGATCTTTGTTTCGGTAAGACCTATAATATTGAAGTGATAATGAAGCTCATCAAATAAATGACTTTGTAAATTTTCAAAATTTAAATTTAAGCTTCTAATATTGTTATGGAAAATAGATAAGTTTTCTTGCTGACTAGATAATGCAGCTTTGTTTACAATGTTTTTGTTTTTGTTTACAATATGGCATTTAAATTAAATTCCTTGCCATTTTTTCTAGTACATGCCATGTGCAGACGTTTTTCCATGGTGTTAGTAAATACACATATTTTTGTTGTTGCTAGGGCAGAATTGTTACATTAGTAGGTCAATAAAATGAAAAGTCTTAAAATTGCTCTCAATAGCTTAGAAGTGATCTGGTGATGTAAAGTCCATAATGTAAACAAACGCTTTGTTTACATTTTGAACTCAGTGCTACAATTATAAAATATGATTAGATATATAGTACACTGAATTTTTAACACTCTTCTGGTTTGCTATGCTTGTAAAGTTATACAGACTAGAGATTCAATTCAAGAAAGTTCGGAAGGTGCGAAATATTAACAACATTCCAATGGTTAGGACCCAACCATTGGAATGTAGGCCTGCGCAGAATGTTTGCGCAGAATGGACTTTACATCACCTTTAATATATATTTTAAAACGCCAGATAATTATAAGTTAATTATTATTACAGTGAAGTACAGTAAATGGAATATCCCTGTGAATAATCACTGGTTGCATAGTATTACAGTTATATATTGCAACATTTTAAATAACAAATCAAATATTATACAATGTAATCTTACATCACCGCGTTCTTCAATCCAGTCTTTCACAACTACTTCAACCGTGTTCTCATCAAGAAACTCAACAACAACAAAGATCATCTAATATTATAATTAAAAAAGACATGGCAAAAAGATTAGAATAATGTCAATAATAACATAATTACTGTAGACTGTGCAACACTGCATGACACTAAATTTAATTTGAATTTTCTGTTTGGATAACAATATTTATTTAAATTAATGACATCAGAAAAAAGTAGTTATTATCATTGATTGGTTGATCGGTTGACCTTAAAACAGCGTTCACTGTACATAATTAATTGTACATTGTTGGCATAACCAATGTAGACAATAAACTTACATAGTATGCAAAATGGCCATAAACACAATTTTATTTTGTCCAAGGTGAAACATGATCGCTTTTTTGACCAGATGTGAGAACTTTGATGGTGGTTTGTTCTGCATTGGCCTTGTACACACCAACAAGCCGAGAATCACAGGGAGAATGATACAATGCGGTAGTTTTGTATGCTCGGCATGTAAAATGACGTTCAGTCTGCACGATGGTCGTTTCTATTACCTCACAACACGAGTGTTCGTTTAAAACATAGACTTCATTTGCCTTTTTGACACTGATCACATTTTTCTCTTCAGGCTCACCAATCTTACTCAAGGACAATTCGCCTAGACGTTTTGCAATCTGAACAATAGGATTATTTCCTGATCGAACCATTTTCTTTAGTTGCTGCATGTAGTTCTCAAATTCAAAGGCACTACATGCATCTAAACTACCATACACTTCTGTTTCTGCAGCCAAATGGACCAAGCTGTGTACATTGTAAACTACAAACTCCTCACCATACAGCATAGAACCCTGCTGCACAAAGTATATGAGCAATTCATGGGCATAGGCTCGGTGGACTTGAGCAAGGCGAGGACATACCAAAATTGAAATAGCGACGCTAAGACAAAGAAAATGACTGTACAAATCATCTCTTAATACTCCACTCAAAGCGATAGCACCAGTGTACAAAAGGAATTGCCTAAACTCTGTGGCCTTCCTTCGGTTAATTTCATCTAAACCATGTGGCTTACGAGCAAAACAACTGGGAATAAATTATCTTAAACCCACCAAAGTGTTGCTTACTTCCATGACCTGACCAGCTGAAATCCTAATTGCACGCTTACCTCTTATCCACAATAAAAGCATTTTTTTCATTACACCTAAACAGACTTGATGCATGTAATCTATTGGGAATCTTTTACCATGTCTATACTTAAGTCACAAAATGGACTGCGATACTTATGGTGCTCCTCATTTGATTGATCTCTAAACGAAAGATCTGTATGAAGCACAATACCTAGAATCTCTGGATATGTAATTCTACCAATCCACTTGCCACGCTGACAACATTTGTCACAACCAAAATATCCAGAATATAATTTGGTTCCCTTTACCAAAGCTTGTGCAGGAGCATCACAAACAATACAACGCAAGGTCACAGAAAGTGTTCTACCACCAAACTGGAGCCCGTGTTGCAAAACATATTCTAAATCCCTGATCATATCTTCCAAAAAGGTCAAATCATCAGGTTTAGATTTACCATATGTCAATACAACAGGAAAAACAGTTGCAGGCTTCACATTAGCCAAACCACACAAAACAGGCCACAATGACTTTTGAGAACTTTTAAATAATGGAAGCCCATCAATATTAAATGATAATTCAAGGGTGTCTATAGCATCTGTTATAACACTTGGATATCTATTTAAATTTTTCACAAGCTCTCTAGCAAAAGGAAAATAAATATATTGCATCCCAGACTTATTCTGAAGAGGAACATTTCTAGTGGTGTTTAACAAAGTGTGTGCCGAAGAAGGTAGATTGGGGTAACCAGAATCTTTTAAGATTTTAAGTAGGCTATCTGTTGCATTCTGTTTTACTTGGAAGTCATTGGCCCATTTTGCCAAATCATCACCAAGAGCATCATCATCTCCAACTTCCACCTCGCTATATGATGGATAACTCAAGTTCAAGCCTATTCTACCCATTTCTTGGTCACTACTATCATTAGCATAATTTAGATTAACATGTTGCTCATGTTGTTCCTCATGATGTTCTTCGTGCAAAACTGCATGATCTATTGGAACCACTATCTCAGTTCGTGGTAATGGTGCATCATGGTTTAAAGTTCGAATGTCGGGTTGTTGCTGATCAGTATCACTTAATTCAGTAGAACTGTTATCAGAAAGCTCATCATTGTCAGCATTTCTTAAGGCTCGTACAGCAGCTACCCACTTTCTTTTGTATTAAGCACGTGGATTAGCCATGGCAACTAAGTGGCTCTATTAAACATAGTTTTGTGCAATTAGATAATTGCTAATCATGATAATTGCCAATCGTGGTAATTGCCAATCGTGGTAATTGCCAATCATGATAATTGCCAATCATGGCAAATGGATTAATACTGGGTTCTGACCACAAATGTGAGTGCAGCATGTAAAAATATTTCTCAACAGGAAAACCATCATTACAGTTTCAGGGACCCCGCTCCCTAGGTCAGTCTCAATTGGGGCACGCATGGTTCTCAAGAACATTTTGAAGTTTGAGGATGTGGTTTTGGCATTTTCAGAATCAATTTCTGAAGTGAATTTATCAATGAAATAAGTTTCACATATTCCATACAGATTTATACTGGTTTCCATCAAGGTTGTCTCAGGTTTCCAACTGACAAACACATGTTACTCCCTGCTCTAGGTAGTCCTATGGCCAAAGTAGTCAAGCTAAAAATTAATTAAGGGGCCGGTAAATCATGATATATTGATTGACATATTGGATTAGTGGTACGGAGGTTTGGCCAGAAGTTGTGGTTAACACTGAGTAATTTTAAAAACATACAAAACTATGGACACTCCGAAAACAGTTAACATTTTTAATTTGACGTTTCGACTAGCTTGCAGTCATCATCAGGAATGTAGTATAATTTATCAACAGACAACACTCGTATTATTTTAATAGCACTGATGAAGATCCAGCCTTACAGATCGAAAGCTTTGCAGACTGCTGTAATAAATTTACGTGGTGTTTCCACAAACAAAATATATGTTTTATCGCCACACAATCATACAAAGAACATACATAGACAACACTGAACAGAACATATATAATTTTAAAAACTGGTTTACGTTATTTAGAATCATTGGCAAAATGTCATACTGTATGTCATGCCAAGTTCTCATGTTACAGGAATGTTTATGATAAAAAACGAGTCTATAAAAATATGCAGCAAATATATTGAATGTATGAAAATTTACCCTGCAGTTCAAACACAATAATATTCAAATTAAAAATCCATTTTATCGTAATCAAATGTATAAAATATTTATCGGTTTTTATGACATGCCCTTTTGGAAAAAATGCGTCATGCTGTGTCCATGCCATGAAAGCTCTACTGTTTTGTTTAAAATGTCTCGTTTAAAAGAAAATATCAAAGATCAACTGACAAGAGAGCAATACAGAACAAACAGTTAAATATATACTTACATTCGGACTATAAAGTTGTGGCGATCGTATGATATATTAATTACTGCTATATGAAACAACAGACTGTCGGAATCACTACATATAAGTGAAGATAATCAAATGTTAGCAAAACTTAATGGATATTCCACTAAATAAGCAAATTTACATTAGAATAGTGGAATAATTATATATGAAAGTGGAATAATTACTTTCGTAAACTTTGCCTGAAAAAAACTATACGCTCCGTGACAACGTGCGCAAATAGAATACATTGCAATTTGAGACTAGAATAAATTACGCACATTTCGGCTCAGTCGATATGTGAACAGCGGTAAGTACATGTGCGCCTTGATCTAAAAGTGTAATCCTCTTAAAAACGTTTCCTCAACGCCCACGAATGACGCATATGTTTAAAACGTTTTCTCGATGTTGGCGGAAAACATAAATCTGTATCGCAATAAGAACGTAGTTGCGACGTACCGACCTATGGACTGGTACGTGTTTAAAACATTTTCTCAACGTTGGCGGAAAACGTAAATCTATAACGTTATCAGAACGTAATTTCCAGTCTGGATATTCATTCTATAATTAGTGTCGTGTACGAACAACGTTCTAATTACGTTATTTGAAGGTTAGGTCGGACCTAACCAAACCACAACCAATTTAAAATGTTGTGCTTACGTACTGTGCTAGCTGGGTATACAGTGAAAAAGTTATTGGTCAAAAATTTTTGGTACAAATTATGAATATCAATAACTGCATCTGCAAGAAATTTAGTGTTTTACCTTGGACTGTATGTCATGTTTGGTAGCCATACACACTCAGCATATTCTTAGGGTACTAACACTTTCCAAAAACCCACCAATCACAACCAATTGACAGACTCAATCAAATGTGTGCCTTTCCAAATACTAGAAAACAAGTATTTGTTCTGGTCAATCAAATGACTGTGATGCCAAAACACCTACCATACTTACAGCTTCTAGTTGCTTCAGATCTTTCATAAATGGCTACATTATTTTATTTGGATTGAACTTTTGTATACAGTGTGTATCAAAATAATTCGAATCCAAATTTGACAGACTGCTGTTTATAAAATACTAAAGTAAACGATATAATTTGTATATGGCAATAAAGAATAGCCTATTAGGTTTCCGATTATATTCTTATATCAATAAGACCAAAAATGAGCAAGTAATCGTCTGTTAAAAGTGGTTGCTCGAAATCAAATGTTTCCGCCGATGGGAATTCGAAGTGAGACGTACAGACAAAAGATAATGCAAATTTAATTAATCAACAAACTGTTATGTAGCAACATTTACATAAATTCATATTTATTTAAAGAAATTTAAGCTCCTATGCCTTCAACATGTCCTCCATTTCTGTCAATGCAAGTTTGACAGCGTCGAAGGATGTCTTGAACTGCTCGTCGAACCATCGCTGGATCGTTCGCCAAAAGAGCAACTTCCTGACGAATGCGAGCTTGCAAGTCATTCAGGTCAATTGGAGGGCTGGTATAAACTTTGGATTTCAAATACCCCCAAAGGAAGAAGTCACAAGGTGTAAGGTCAGGCGATCGAGGTGGCCACTCCACTGCATGATGCAACGCGATGACTCGATTACCAAACAACTCTCTTAGGCGAGCAGTAACAGCACGAAGACGATGTGCTGGGGCCCATCTTGAACCCACCAAAGATGTCTGAATGTACCCCCCACTTGCATCTCAAAATGCTGCAAAAGCTGCGGGAACACATCAGTGTTGATCATTTGCAAATAATTTAGACTGTTTACACTTCTTTCGAAAAAGAACGGACCAATTACTTGTCCACTTCCACACAAACCAAGCCAAACTGTCCATTTCTGCCGGCTGCAACTCACATCGTAGTTGAAAGCTGGAGGGTTTCCAGCTGGAGCATATGCACGGACGTTTCTCGAGTTAACTTGGCCGTTCATGCAGAATGTAGCTTCATCGCCAACAACAAAATTACGAAGGAAATTTTCGTTTCTTCTGCATCGCTCTGTTAACCACCTTGCGAAATTTAGCCGTCTTTGAAAATCGCGTGGTAACAATTCATGCCGTACGTGCATGCAGTATGGGTGTTGCTGCAAATCTAATTGGGTAATCCCGTTAAAACTGGCGGATGGTATTCCAACTCTGTTACGTCTAGCACTTGTACCAGTTGGGTGCTCTGCGAGCCGATTTCTCACCAACTCAATATTTTCTGCAGATCTTCAAGTCCTTCGTCTGCCAGAATTTCCCTTGTTACGATTTAGGCTTGTGCCATTCTGCTCAAATTTTTGCACGTTGTACCAGATGGTACTAAGTGCCATGAACTTAACAATTGTGTAAAAACCAACCGAATTTGTCAAATATATTCTGCGTTATTACACACCAAATTTGGATTCGAATTATTTTGATACACACTGTATAAGAGGTACTTTACATTTTTTTCCCAACACAATTCTATTGTTTTGGCAATATTTGCCTGACCAATTTTGTTGTTTTGACTTCATTTTGACAAAGTCAGTCCAGTTACTGTTTATAGCAAAAAAAAATCTTGCCAGTATAACTGATCGAGATCTTGCCTAGCTTGTTTGAGTGAGATCTGAAAAACTGTGCCAGCTAGGTTGTCCAAACCACCGAAAGGAATTTCCACTATAAATTAAATAACCACACAGTGAGGTCTCACTTACTGGGTGATAGTTGTCGCATTAACAGTCCTTACCTCAGGGGGACCAGAAATATGCCAGCACTGGAGTCAATTAACCCAATACTTATAGAAATGGGGCAAACAAACTAATGGCCTTTTGGAGATACATACAACAAACTATCAGAGAGCACACATACAAATTACAACCTTGGGTAAAACATGCATTCTCATATCAGCTGAGCTTTGTCCTACACCAGTTCACAACAACCTTATGCATAACAAAAAATTAAAAAAAGTTAGACAGTAACAAAATACTTCGCAAAATGATGAAAATAACCAGCCTAGTTCCTGGCCTTCTCGCTTCCGCCTCGTTATTTTAGGGGGAAATCGATAAGGTTTGCAGGTTGACCAGGATAACGCTGTATTGCTTGGATACTGGGGAGAGGCGAGAAGCGAGAAGGCCTAGCAAAATTCGCAAACTGTCCTGATTTGTCCTTCACGTTGGGAGTGGGCTCTAGTTTACTTTGATAATTTTTTGTTAAATTTTTAATATTAATTTGCGAGTATTTTACAGACTTTACAGTAAAAATTGTATTAAAGAAGCATTTTGATGGCAAATTACAGGTGCTATTGCCTTATGTAATGTTGGGAAAGTGTGATTTGCAAGTTCTATTAAGGAGTCAACAGTGAACAGTTTGGTGTATATTTGTTCGTGATTTTGGACTTGGTATTTTTACCTCAAATATAATAATATAATAATTATTATATATTGTCGAATTTTTTAAAGGAATTCTTATGCAAAATGTACGTATAATATGATATTCCGCATATATATTTATTAAATTGGATCTGTGATTGGATCTGATGGATCAGCTATGGTCAATATCGCGTGGTTGTTTATATTTTCACAGAAGTCGACTGTCTCATTGTATGAACTGTAGTCACTAGTTAGTATTCAAATTGTTAAATGTTTATATATATTTTGTTCATATTTTTGTTGTTGGAAAGATGCCATTAATGGAAAGTGTAAATATCTATATTATGCCCCTTGCACTTATTCACTTTCCTCTGCTTCCCATGAGGTTGACAGAACAAAATATTGACAAAGCCCTTGGTTACAGGGTAAAGTTTAATGACAAAAATCATATTACAGTACCTATCCCATTGCCAGGGCAATATTAATATGCAAACATAACATATCTAACAGAAACATATTATACAATACAATTGGTTAACTCCATAGAAAATCGTACTGTATAGCAGAAAGGTGAATAATTAAATAACCACTACTATGTGAATGTTGATATCCTTTTGGTTTATCCTGGGGGTAAACTGTGCCTGTTAGGGGCATTTATAATTTACTTACAGGAGGGGGAGTGCCATGACAGTTTTTTTATTTAAATTTTCTGGAGCCCCCCCCCACTTTTGTTGATCACATTCGTTGCCCCCCCCCCCACCATATGATTGTAAACAACAGATGGTGAAGTGTCGACTCCCTGTTTCCCCCTTCAAAAAATCTATTGACCTTTAATTAGTATTGGTTTCTTATCAATATGAATAATAAATTCTGACATGCACTATAATGTCAAATATTCTTGACCATTGAACTTCCATATCTATTAATAACAACTTCAGTCATAAATCCTTAGAATATGAAAGGTTTGCAACTTTGCATGGCAACAAAAATGAAAACTAAAGGAAAGTTTTTGTTGAAGGTTTCCTTGCCTAATATTCAGGTAATTTTTGATAGTTCCCTAAATTTTGACCCCTCTCAAAATCACCATTGCCCCCCCCTAGGTAAATTACAAATGCTCCCTGGCCAAAATGCAAACAATTTCCCTACATGGAGGGATGTTATTTTTTTACAAAAAGTAACAAATCCCCCCTCCTGGTGATCAACCCCTGGGGATGCCAATGATTAGTGCAGTTGATTTGTAAACAAGACATTTATTTACCCCAATAAAGTTATGCAAAAAAATAATGTACTGTATGTACAAGACCATATTTCAATGCCTTAACCTCGGCCTTTCCATTCAGGTTCTTTCCCATTCAGGCAATATATTTTGATAGAAAACATTGATTTGTCTTCTAAGGGCAACATATTTGCAAGCAAGGTCTTGTTTTTTTATAGACAGGGATAAATTTTCCCCTCATGTGATCCCCCCCCCTTGTGACACTCTGCAACTCCTGATCAAACACCCCTCTATCCCCACAAGCATTATGTATTTTGGGAATGGCCCCATATCACATATGGAATAAATTTGTTTTCAGTTTACTAGCAATAGCGTATGAGAATCCAAAATCATGGATTTGAAATGAAGTAGTATTTTAAAACATTGAGGTCAGGATATGTGGGTCAAGGAAGGTCATTGAAATTGACCTTCATTGGCTTGAATGACAATTGAATTGGCTATTGTAACTAAAATAACTATAAGTAAAATGTTACTTCTTTAATTAAACGACTTTGTTCCAAGTAAAAGTACTCCAAAGAAAGTTTACGTTGTCACATGCAGACTTCTCAAAAATAGAACTCAAGTACAGTAATGAGGTACATTTACTTCGTTTTATTATGGTATTTAATTAGATTAAATTTGATTTTAATTTGCTAGTATAGGTAATCATGCGATGGCGAGTACAATTAGGGATTAATAGTACAAGTGATGTTTGGAAATTTTGCCAAAATTGGACAAGCCGCCGGGGCGAGTCCAATTTGGCAAATTTCCAAACATCACGAGTACTATTAATCCCTAATTGTATGAGCAACATCGTATGATTACTTCAATACTTTTTTATTATTAGCATGACAACATTGCATGATACGTACTTCTCAATGTCAACATCATATTCTCTCGCCAAAGCCCAGTCCTGCCAGACTTTCAACCATAATTTGGTGCTTTTGTTTGTATTTTCATTTAGTTATTTTGTTCAAGCAAAATTTGGTGCTTTTGCTCGTGTTTTCATCTAGTTCCTTCACGGCAATTTCATTTCACATTTGTGTTTAAAATGCCTTTCCGCCATTTTGTTTGTTTTGGGAAAATCATTAATTGTACTGCAGTACAATTAATGAAATAATTGTACTCCTCTCAACCAATCAACATCCAGTAATTTTGTCATGCCCCTTTTCGCATTTTACCCTCTTTTCCGCGTTTTACCCCCTTCTCGCATTTTACCCTCTTTTCCGCGTTTTACCCTCTTTTCCGCGTTTTACCCTCTTTTCCGCGTTTTACCCTCTTTTCTGTTTCCGTTTTTCCGGTTCCGCCATTCCGTTCCGTTTCCGTGTTTTACCCCTACCCAGCATCAGTTATGTGTTTGTGTTCCTGTTGTTTCCCTTCATTTGTGTTGAGCAATGTTGCTGCCCTGTGTAATAGAGTTTGTGCAGTGCTAACTTTGTGCTGTTTGTCGTGCACTGCACACTCTCTATTATACAGGGCAGCAACATTGCCCAACACAAATGAAGGGAAACAACAGGAACACAAACACATAACTGATGCTTTACTGTTAAATGGATACCCCCGGAAATTCCTGCAAGAGGTCTAAAGGACACAAGCAATAAGACAAGAAAAAGTGTCATCGCCTGAGGAGTTGGTAAAACAGTTTCTTGATCTCGTAGAGCTGCAGTCTAGTTACAGCTACGCTGTCCTTCCCTACATTAAAGGCCTAACAGAACCACTCAAAAGAATCCTAAAACCCCATGACATCCGAATAACAACAAAACCCTTATTTATACACTCTGGAACAGTCATTTCCTTCTGCTAAAGACAGACCATTACCGGAGGATCAGACTAACATGGTCTACAAGATCAATTGTGCTGATTGCTCATGGAGTTATATTGGCGAAACTGGGAGAGCGTTCAACACTAGACGAAAGGAACACAGGAGAAATGTAGAGCTCTATAAAAGTGGTTCAAATATCGCTAATCAGTGTAATCACGCTTGGACAAACAACCATAGAATAGATTTCAATAGCGGGAAAATAATTGACAAAGGCAACTATCGGCACCGAGAAACACTTGAATCGTGGCACACTGCACACACACAAAAAATGTCTATAGGCCTGGCCTATAGGCCAACCTATAGGTTTCTATAGGAAACCTATAGGTTTTTATAGGCAATTGGAACATTTTCTATAGGTGACCTATAGGGATGCCTATAAGTCTATAGAGCTCTATAGGTGCCTGAAGGCTTCTATAGGGAATTGGAACAATTCCTATAGGAACCTATAGGCCACCTATAGACTTTTTTCGTAAGGGATGCACAAAAAAACTCCGACAACAATGCAAAACATTTACCGGAACAATACCGCTTTCTACTTAGCAAAAAACTCTGAATCTATCTACATGTAATTTAAGTCATTAATCTTGTATGTAGGTGGAACTGTCATATTTCTGTCATTTTGTATCTATATGTAATTGTAAACCATTGTAATTGTCACACTCTCATTGTAATCCACCCGTTGAAGACTGCAGACTGGCAGTCGAAAGCTCGTAATAATAAATATTTAAAAACCAGAGAACGTTTAAACACTTATTATGAATAATCCTGGTTTCGCTTCAAACATATTTAAATCTCCCGTAATCGCTAATCCTCTTGAGGATGGTAAAAATTACCCCAAAAAGGGATAATTTTTATTCCTTAAAATTTACAGTGCAATAACACTTGCAACTATCTTTAGGAACCTGTTTGGTATACTGTCCAAACCAGTTGACTTCTTATCGTCTAATGTAGTCAGCAGTTGGATAAACTGTGTTAATGGAGGGAGTTTGTGAGAGAAAGATTTATCAGTTGGTTTAAAATAAAATACTGGATCACGCACAGGAGCAGGAATATCGGAAGGAAGTTTTTCACCAATACCTGAGAAGTAGCTGTTAAATGTTTCAGCTATTTCTTCAGGCGCAGTTATTTCTCGCTCTTCAAAATCTAATTGTGTTATCTTTTTAGTTTTGCTTACATTTCTAGAGCTTAGTTCATTTATAAGGTTCCATGTTTGTTTCATGTTGCCTTTATTTGATTCAAGATTTTCTTATAATAAGCTTGTTTAGTTTTTCTAAATTTCAATATATATATATATATATATATATATATATATATATATATATTACAATAGTGGAACTCAAAACACACGTCCTTTCTCTTCGGAGAAAGGACCTGTGTTTTGAGCTCCGCTATTGTAAAAATTTTTTCAAGAAATCTACAGCTATGGCTATTTTCTCTGGCAATAGTGATGAAATAAAAGTACATATTGATAGAATAACACTGTGTGTACTTGAAAATCTTGCACTGAATGGAAACAAGCTTAAATGGACAAATGATCTTCAGCGATTAAAGCATTTCATTGAAGAAATAGTTGGTATCAAAGGCAAATGTCTTCGCCTGGTGGTGGCTCAAGGTGCTTTAAATCGCAACGTGGCCCGTTTCAAGTAACATGGTATTTTAAGAAGCAATCTACATTACTTTTTCAAGCGAAAGTCGCTGAAGATTTGGCAGTTAAACTAAAAGAGGCGATTACAAAAGCGATCGAAGATGCTGAAAACCTTGCCAAACACAAAGATGGCGCCTCTGAAGTCGAAACCTCGAATTTCAAACACACAGGAGAATCACTCCCAAAGGAGCCAGTGTCTTGTTCCTTCCGAGAACTCATAGAGGATGTTGAACGTGTAAAGCTTGACATGGTTAAAATGAAAAAAAAAATTAATGCAAAATTGGAAGCAATATCGAATAGTGCAGCAAATGAAAAACCAAAGGAAAACCCAAAAGAAGACAAGTCTCGGCAGGAGATTGCCCACCATGAACAAACTATTCAAGAATTACAGAGCAAAATTACATTGTTAACGAAGTTGTACAATAAAAAACTTGAATAAAAAGAGCAAGTCATTTCGTCTCTAGAGGAACAAATAACAAAGGCACAGTACAAACAATCGACTCTGACAAAAGAATTGGCTGATATCACACAGGAAAGAGACTCATTGATATTAGCATTTTCTCTAATTATCGATGATAAATCTACTGGGCAAGATTTATGAATATACAGCTGCAAAACTTTCAAGAAACCAAAACAAAATCTAAAGAATGTCAAATCTACTGGGAAGCCCGCCGATGTTGCTACTCTGTTTTAGAAGATAACATAATATTAGACCCTAATGAGTCTAATGAGAACAATGTTGATGAATTGAATGAATCGAAGCATAACGACGCACAGCACAAGGAAAGACCAGTACATCGCGACAATGCAGCGGGGAAAAGCAAAGGCAGAACTGTTACACTCTAAAAACATCCTGGTTAAATTTAACCAGGACATGGTCAAATCTTAACCAGGATTTGAATCAATATGCCACAGATGTAATCCTGGTTAATTTAACCAGGAAATCCTGGTTGTGTATTTTGACCTAAATTCCTGGTCAAATTTAACCAAGTCGTTTTGGTTGCAGTTTGACACGTAAAGTAGTTAAAGTGACCAGGATCGATGTTAAAATGCTTCCAACCAGGTTCCTGGTCAAAAGTTATTTCAAAATCCTGGTTAAAATTTCAGCTGCCATGCATTATGAAATATTAATGATGGTTTCTTGCACTTCACTTGGTGGAATTGATATTAAAATGCTGTTTTTTAGGGTTTTGTAATCCAAGTGAGTATATATATACAGCCAATTCAAAAAAGGTCGTTCTTTGCAAACCTTAAACTCTAAACCTTAAACTCTAAGCGTGCAAAGCTTAATGGGAGCACAAGTTTCAAGCCTAGTAGTTGAATATTGCAGCTATTTGTGAGTGAATTGTAATGCAGCACAAGGTCCTCTGGTATGAATCAGAGGGTAGGGATTGAATTTAGCCTGCAAGCAGGCGCTCCGGCGAGTATGAGGATGATGAGGTTATTTGAGGGACAAAATTAACAAGATCGGCTGACTAATTTTTGGCACAATACAGAATTTCGCAACAATATGACATCCGTGACAAATTACTGTAAAAGATGCGCTCATTGCCTTTTAATCGATGTGTTTACATGAAAATTTGACCGAAAATTTATTCAGCAGACAAACACTAATGACTGTTCGGAGATGCCGACCTACTCAAAAATAATGGAGTTACTCAAAAATAGAAGGTAATATTATTAGCTATATAAAAAGTGTATTATGTATAATAATATACATAAAGATATTACTTGACTGTGATTGGTTGATTTCAGTGCAGTTAATCCCAAACAGCAGTGCAATTTTCTGTAATCACAGTGCAATTTTTTTAATCACAGTGCAATTTTCTGTAATCACAGTGCAAAAATCTGTAACAAACTGATCTGATTGGTGGAAAAACATTGTGATGATTAAATCAACCAATCAGTTTAAGGCAGTTTAGTTTTAAAGAAGTAACGGTCACAGATTGCTTCAAAACAAAACAAACATGGCGCCGCGCTACACAAAGTAAAAGTTACCTTCGCGTGGAAAATATGGCTTTTATCTTTATTTTTAAATGGAAAAGCATTTACCTTAAACAAGACTAACAAAAAATACACAGTTGAGTGGAATTTTCAAGCTGTTAGCGTTGTATAATGTGATAAAACAAAGCCAGGAAAAGTTTGCCAGTGGAATGTTCGCTATAAACGCGTAAGTTAAAACTACAATTGTCTCGAACCTTTTTATGTAAATTATTATTAAGTAATAGCATGGTTTCTCGTGAAATTTGGATAAACATGCACTCGTGAGTTTTTCAAAGACCTCAAATAGCACTCGTCCTTCGGACTCGTGCTATTTTGAGGTCTTTGAAAAACTCACTCGTGCATGTTATATCCAAATTGCACTCGAAACCATACTATTACCTATACTTATCATTTACATGTAATGCACCTATCAATGCATGTTAAGCCCCAGAGGGGGGGGGGGCTTGGCATATGGGGGGTATTTCATCATCAAGTTAGGGCAATTTGAACCAAAATTACTTTTATTAATATAGTATTTATTGCAATTTATTGCAAAATGGTGGGGTATTTGACCAATATTGGTTGCCAAGACAGTGGGGCATTTGATTAAAAATTTGCTAAAAAAATAAAATGCCCCACATATGCCCGACCCCCTTCTCTGGGGTTTAACATTGACAGGTGCATAATTAATACATGCTGCAATATAAAGCAAGTATTATGACCACAGTAACTTATAATTAGTCTTATCTAACATTGAACAAATAAATACTGTATAGAGATATTGCTGTCCTTATGAGTTATGGAACAAAACATTCCCAATGAGTCTCAATATAAACCATTATAATAATTTGTTTAAGGCAGCCCTCATTGCAATAACTGCTGGCGAAGTCTTGCCCTTTCAGTTTGTCCTCGATTCCAAACAGCACTTTTTGAATAAACTCCCACGTTACACCACACTGCCATGGGTAATGTACATCTAGAATGTAAAAAAGTTCAAAGCAAACATCAACTGCTTTAACAAGACTGGGCTGCTCCAAGCCTTGTCTATCGACAGCCACAAAAACTTGATTGGGACTCTCTCGAGCATCAATAGCCAATATAAATGGAGATTGACTGGCTTCCTCAAGTAGCTTGGGCATGTTTGTACCAATCTATAAATTATCAAAAAATCATATTCATTTGGCAACTACAGATTGCTTTATTTTATGGGAATACTGGCCATGCAATGCCTATTGGACTGACGGCATTGCCAAGCGGACATATATGTCGAGGCCCTGTTTACACTTTCAATTTTTGTTTTCCAGTGCAATTATCGTATTTTGAATACACAAATTGTGAATTCCTGAGAACATGTTAGTTTATTTATTTGATCATTCACAATTCATCCGCTCATTCGTATCCATCAGAAGAAGGAAACTGCACTAGAAATAACTGCTAGACCTTTCCATCCATATATGCAGGGGAGTGACTGATACAATAACCTTCAGCATAATTTGGAAGTTAGTTTGACTTGCAAGTTTAACATCCAAAAATGATCTCATTGCTTCGTCAATGCTGCATCGTTTTTTCCCATTCCTTCCAGTAGGAAGGATACAAGGCAGTAGGCTTATGGCAATGTTCATCTTTTGTTCATCTAAAACAATTTGAATTTTTTCTTTTAATTATAAATAATCTAACACCTTGTGACAGTTAAATGTGGACTAACATGCAGTTGCACTACAACACCAATCTTAAGTGAAGACATGTGCTAGTGAAAGAACTATACATGTATACTGATGAATTAACTGATAGGGTTGCACTGTGCTGTCCCTTACAAAAATGGAATAATCTGTTGTTAATTTTAATAGACATAGTAAAATAATACAGCAGGCAAATTAGGTTACACATTGTTTGCATGTGCTAAACATTACAACAATTCAGCTTGTTTAGAGATAAAACTGCATACAGATTGTACAAAGGCTGAGGATGCATAATTATACAGATTTATCTACATACTGTATAAGAGGGTCGTGAAGGGGGAGGGGGGTCCTAATCCCATTTGCCAGTCCAGATTTTTTTAGCAAATCCCATGACAGGAACATTTAAAGTAGATGTTTACATATGAGACCGGCACAAAAAAACTCAAACTGGTCTGAAGGCATTCCGCCTGCCACCCCATAGATATCTTATACAGTACCGCTTGCATATATCTTAACATACGATACGCGTATGATACGCGTATGATACACGTATCATATGAATACGCGTATCACACGAATACGCGTATCACACAAACGTGTGTATCATACGAATACTCATTACAAACAAATATTAGGGTGCTATAAAAGTAATAAAAGATGTGTTTTATATAGTGCACTGCAAATACGCATATCATATACATGCTATTATAATTCGCCTATTAACCCATTAAGCGCCAGTGCTCCCGCCTTGACGAGTAAAATCGTCTGGCTTTAGACAGAGTAAAATACTAAAGTAGGGTGCATCAGGGTGCAATGCGACTCAATGGGTTAACTAGACACATGGGCAGACAGGCCAGTTAACCCATTAAGCGCCAGTGCTCCTGCCTTGACGAGTAAAATCGTCTGACGTTAGACAGAGTAAAATACTAAAGTAGGGTGCATCAGGGTGCAATGCGACTCATCTTCCGATACAGGTTAACTGCACATACACATATATTGGGAGTTCTAAACAAAGCTATATACAATACAATATTCAATAAGTATCAACCTATTGTATAGGTGCTGAAAATAGTAATAATTGTTGATTAAATAACTTGGGCCACTGCCTTTTTTGTGAACATTACTTTCAGATTGTTTGTAGATACGGAGACAATGCTGTTACAATTTTCTCAGGACCTATATTCTATAGGCTATCTAATTAAAACGTCGTGCATGGTGTCTTAAGTGGCAGCATAATCGGCTCTATATTGTATACATATACATACATACAAAAATTTATTTAAGTACGCTGGCCCCAACAACTCGGAGCTGATTTCCATGAGGAACGATATTACACTGCCAAGATGGCGGATGGCTTTATTGAGCTCCGACTATTTGGTCAATTTACGGCTTTTATTTCAAACTTTAAATGAAAGCTTCGACCAACAACATTTATACCATGGATAAGAAAAGTCTTGAAGCATTATTTGATAAAAAATTAGCTCCATTAGGCTAAAAAATTATAGAAATGAGCAAAAGTCTTAACGTAGCAACCGAGTCACTACAATTTACTAGCGATAAATATGATGAATTGATTAAAAGAATGAAAGAGTCTGAACGACAAAGAACCTTGATTATGAAAGAAAATAGCGAACTGAAAGCAGAATTAACTAAAGTGAGTACAGTAATTGCAGCTCTACACCATATGGTCAACGAACAAGAACAATATGGCCGAAGAGACTGTCTGGAGTTTAGAGGTATACCAGTGAGTAATTCTTATACTCCAGAGCAGACCGATGAAATTGTGATAAAGATAAGCGAAGCAGTCGGGGTAAAGATTCAGAAGGAGGACATTTCGATAAGTCATCGTCTTCCAGCACGAAGGCCGACTTTTGCACGAGCATTGTCTTCATCGCCGCCGCCCATAATTGCAAAATTCACAAGACGAAATGTACGAGACAAAATCTACAGTGCACGCAAGAACCTCCGTAATATCTCAACGAGTCAATTTGGCTTTGAATCGCAAAACAAGATATTCATTGTAGAAAGTCTTACTAAGCAAAATAAACTTTTGTTTAATAAATGCTTAGAAGCGAAGCAAGTAAACAATTTCAAGTTTGTATGAACTAAAATGGCAACGTTTTTCTTCAAAAGGACGAGAATAGCCCTGCAATCCGCATTTCAAACCAAACTGATTTGGAAAATAAATTGGTGCCATAGTATGACGGAATATATCGCTGATAATTCCTTTCTGGTATGAGGATAGAAATTAACTTCATTGTTGTGTGCACATGTAAGCTAATACAGCTAAGTACAACTATGTGTTATTTTATACTTAATGTGTGATCATCAGACCAATATATAAACTTTAGCGTTGACAACTTGTCAAGCCTTGACATTGATGCTGAAGCATTCTCCTTCAGAAATAATGCACAGCTTAACAATTGTGATATTGATGAGAATATGCCAAATGATGTTAACTTTAGATACTATTCTTGTGATGAGCTTAGCACCGAAAGTAAACACGTACATGATTATAACTCATTTTCTACAATTCATTGTAATATTAGAAGTCTGAATGCAAATTTTGATAACCTTAGCACAATGCTCTCTAATATAGATTTTTCATTTAACATCATTGGCCTCACTGAAACAAAAATTAAATTCGGTCAAGATATCCTACTTAATCATGTACTTGACAGGTATGAATTTGTATCTCAACCTACTAATTTTAATGCTGGTGGAGTTGGCTTCTACATAAATAATAACCTAAACTTTAGTATACGAGATGTGTTGTCAATTAGTACAGACGATTTTGAATCCCTTTGGGTTGAAATTGAAATCAAATTTTCTTCCATCTGCAAATTTTGCAACCAATGCGAATTACAGATCATTCAGCAACTTTAATTGATAATATATTTTTTTAATTCAATTGAATATATTAAATTTAGTGGGAATTTGGTATATGATTTGACCGATCATCTTCCAAATTTTCTTATTAAAAAAATCCATCCTAAAAAATCCAAATTTGAAGTGCATGTATGAGATTATTCCAAATTGAATGAAAGACGTTTCATTGATGAGATTGATCAAACTGATTGGGATCAAGCTTTGTCACATACTACAAATATTGATGATATGTTTGATACATTTCATACTCGCGTAGAGGAGATTGTTAACAAGCATGTTCCTCTAAGGAAACTTTCCAAAAAGGAATTAAAAGATAAACCATGGATAACCCAAGCCATTCAAATATCAATACGAAAAAAGAATTCAATATACAAAAAATATATTAAAACTAAATTACATAAGTATTTTTTGAAATTTAAGTATTATAGAAACAAATTGAACCATTTAATTAAAATAAGCAAAAAACAATACTATAATAATTACTTCTCCACTATAAACAATGACAATAAGAAATTATGGAGTGGTATTAAGCAGATCATGGGTAATAATAACCGAAACAAGATGGCTCCTTCAAAATTGATCATCGATGACCAGGAAATAATTGATAAGAGATCCATAGCTAACACTTTTAACAGTTTTTTTTTTTCAAGTATTGGTATGAAACTGGCAGAGGGGATACCAAGTGCAAAAACGTCTCCGTATGATTTCATAAAATATTTTAACGATATAGGTATATACATGACCAACAATATTTATACAGAAATAGAAGAAACGCTTAATTACAAGATTTATATAATACTTAATTAAATGTTTTTAGCTTTGTGCTGCTTATTTCTTATATAGGAGTCAATGGTTTGGGTACAACATGCCCACGTACGACTTAACTGCTCAGGCGTGTCCGGATAGTATTTGTACACGTACTCCTGTATTTTGTCGAGTTTTTCTTTGTTAAGCTTTCCTTTCTTCGCCAAACCATGACAATTTTGTCCTTTCATTTCGTCCAAAGTGAATAGATTTCTCAACAAAACACTGGCGAAAGCTGTTGGGCCAGAGCTTTTAAGTTTGATTGCTGCCAATTCGTCGTTGCTTACTAAGTCTGACGGTGGCGGCGGTTGGGATAATGGCATGTTGGTTGCAGAGTTTTCGGGGACAGTTGATGGCAAAATATCATTATCTTCTTCTGATTCTGGTATGATGTACCAACAGTGGCAACAACTTGACCACTGTCGCCAACAATTTCATTACAGCGTAGCGGAATGTTGGTATGTTGCTGCTGGATTAACTGCTTCACAAGTCCAGTCAACGAATTCAGGCTGCTCATGATAATTTTTTTGGTTGTTAATGATTTCGTCGATTCTAGGATTGCTTCGATCTTGTTTGAAAGGAATGGGATTATTGGATGATGAGGGATACAGAAGTGGATCTGAAAAAGAAGAAGATAAGAACTGGGGAACGTCCAAATTACTATATGTGCGGTAGTTCGTCGTAACAGGAGTACCACCAGGAACGATGCTGTCCAAATCAGAGAGAGTGCAATTGCTGGCATTTGGTGTCGAAGGCACTATCAGATCTTTGCTAGCATTTGTTATCCCAAAGGAGCCAGATCTTCGCTAACAATACTGTCCAAATCAAGAAGAGTGCAGTTGCTGACATCTGGTGTCGAAGGGACTATCATATCTTGGCTAGTGTTGGTTATCCCACCATGAGCGATATTTTGTACACCACAGAGAGTGTTGCTGAAATTTGGTGTCGTCGTTAAAGGAGCCAGATCTTCGCTAATAGTATTTACTCGACCTGGTAGATTGTTGCTGGCATTTGGTGTAGATGGTATTGTCGGATGGAGATTTTCTTCCATTGCAGGTGTACTTGCAGTCGTAGGCAATGGTATATTTCCTACTGGGGAGAGTGGCAGTCGAGGAGCCTTCCCAACACCAATTACTGTAGCCTATATAATAATGGATTCAGAATTTCTAAATAATAACAAATATTTTTCCACTGGGAATGTTCACAGAGTGGGCCAGGTGCAGGGGGTGTGCCCCCCCCCCTTCTAGTAGTGTCCAATACCCCTTTGAATATATTGAGGAAATAAATGTTGTGCTCAGAACTGAAGTGGCACTTTAGATCTTCAAATTGAAACATTTTCTGAGAGAAAATGCCTCCTGACCCTCGTATAGTAATGAACTTCCCTCTGGAAAACCTTCACCCCCTCTAACAAAACAGGCCAGATCCGCCTCTGAATATGGTCTGATCAAATTTCGCATTAATAAACTATCCAAGTTTTCCCTTCGTGGCGAGGTTTCTCTTGTTAGACTGCAATGAGTCAGACTGATGCACAGTAAAAATATACTCACCAATTTATCCTTGACTGCAGGCCGATTTTCTTTATTAGCGTCATCCTTTTTCTTTGTTTTTCTTTTCTTTTTGGGGGGCTTTTCTGCCTGAAGTTGCTCTTCCTTTTCACCAACTTTCGTTTCTCTTTCCGGCGTATCTTCTTTCCCTTCAACTGACTCATTGTCACTGTCCTTTGCTGGTGGAGTAACATTGATCTCGGCAAACAGCTCGGCTCTCGATTTTACCATGCAGTCTCTCTCACTTCTTAGCAAAGAGGAGTAATCATCCGGAATGAAAACAGAATAGGATAATTAACTTTTTGGTTGACATCAAATCGTTGTTTCTTTTATCTGATTCTCATTAGAAATGTATCAAACAAGGTTTATTTCTAGTTATTTGTTAATTTTGAGTAAAATAGGAAAAAACCCAAATGTTATATTTTATCAGAAAGGGGGATAACTTAGATTTTGATATATAACGTTTGAATATCTGTGCAATATTTACTGAGCTATCGATGTTTTAAATCGAATAAGCATATTTCACAATGTTAAAAATTGCCTATCAAATATTATATAATAATACCTTGTTGAATTCTGATCGTTTAATTGGCTGTTTATGGTCACGTGATATTGAATAGAAAATTCCATTTCCCAAGAGTGCAATGGAATATGTTCCATTGCACTCTTGCGAGTGCAATTGTACTATAAGTTTTATTCCATTGCACTCTTTGTGTTTTCGATAAATCACATCCGTCAAAATGCTTCTTGTACGGTGATCGCTGCAGTTTATTTTAACCCGATATTCGAAACTCGGTAAATGGGATTTAATGCAAATACGACTCGTCAAAATGGCGGGAGCTTACAGTAAACCTTTTAATATTAGTTACATTCCATCTTTCACCTCATGAAAATATTCTTACCATTGCACGAATAGAAACATTCATTATTTGTATATTATTTGGTTAAATTTGAGTATTGAAATCCTGAAATTGAAATTGTTAATTTTTGTGGAAAATGGCAATTTGTTTTCATATTAATTTGATCAGCCGTGTTTCTCGATTTTTTTACTCATTTTTAAAGTGTGCGCCACATTCAAACGTTTGTATCTCATGTAATATTAAATGAAATTTTAGGGCTGTATATCAAATTCTCTTTCCTCAATACAATAAAACTTATTTGAGTGGAAGTTTTTACCTTACATAAAATCAAACACCGCAAGCTATTTTTGGGACACCCGGTATATGTATATATATATATATATATATATAGTTTTTTTTTGGGACACCGGCCGGTATAGATCTCAGAATGCGTCATTTAGATGCACTACTGACATTTAGAAAAAGACAAAGGAAATTGTAGTATAGTGTAAGTATAGACTATAGTAATTATAGTTGGCCTATAGAACAAAAAAATTACAACTGTGGACACTATACTGTAGTATATAGTAGAGTTTGAACTACAATACTACTGATGAGCCTATCAGGGTTCGTAATCTCCAAGATCAAAAATCTTGCTTCAATCAAACTATTATATTAGCTAGGAAATCGCATAATGAAATACTTGCTAAAGAATTTAAAGACTTTCTTCGCTTTTGCACACAATTCGAAGACTTTTCAAAGACCTGCATTCAAATTTAAAGACTTTCAAGGATTTCAAAGACCGCTATGAACCCTGTCGACTATATTATTAGCAAAACAATACATTGTAGTTAACAAAGAAACATTGCTTCGATTACCGGTTATTACCTTGTTTTTAACTTTATACACAAACTGTGATGCAACCCTAAAGATGCCTTTTTCATGGCCCTGGAAAAATTTTTGTCTCGATAAAAATTGGTACCGATTGTCGCATTTTCGCCAGACAAATATATTTTCACAATTTAGACAAGATATAAACAAAAGTTTAGTGGTCAAAAACTTAGGGTAGGCTGGTCTTTTATAAAAATTTAGGGTTGAATGGAATCCATCATTTTGTTGTAGGTACGTTAAGGCAAAAATAATTTGAAATATATTTCCAGCAGAAAAAATTATAAATCATAAACTTTGACGGAATTCTCTAATTTAAAATCTAAGATTTGATGATCTGAAAGCGAATAAAGACCCCAATAGGTCCATAATTTTAATCCATTCCAAAACAGGCCGTTTTCTTAGTAATTATAAACTAGATTAAATCCTAGTTCAGGCCAGGTAGCCATAGGTAATTCTGTTGAAAATTTATAGAAAAATTTAATTTATTTCGAGTGTTGAACATTGATATCTCACTTGTGAGCGCAGCGAACGAGATATCATGTTCAACACGAGAAATAAATCTGGTATTTCCAAGCACCCATGTATTTTTATGTTTATTATATAAAGGACAGTCTTTGAAAAGCAACAATTTTACAAAGAAGCAATAATTGAAAATCGATAATTTTTACATGTGAGATTATCATGAATAATTTCACATGTGAGATTATCACTTTTATCAGTGCTCGAAATCTCTATAAAGCACTACTTTATATATAATAAAAGTAAGTAAACTGTAACTCATGAGTCGCATGAGCCTAGCTGGCGTAAGCTATGGGCTCGAGTGCATATATGTAAAATGCTGAATCAAATTCATTGTGCGTAGGTACGTATATAAAAAAGTATGGCTTTGTGCTTACCTGAAAGTTCCAAAATATAGGCTTCATGCCCTTGTCCATTCCAGGTTACCATAACTTTCTCTCCCTTGGTGATTGGCCTTGCACCTTCGACCATAATAATTTTCTTAGTTGGCACAACAGCAGTGGTGTCGTCAATGGTAAAATACACCAAACACTGTTTAGGCACGGTCTTTGTCAATCAACGAAACATCTTAACTTGAAGTGAGTGAAGTGCTATAGCTTTGAGTGTATGACTGTGTGTCGGAGATTACTGCTACAAAAGTAACAAAGACACGCTTCCTCATCCCTTTTTATATTCTGTTTCGATGAGGCAAAACAAAGGATCTATTTTCACCATTTTTTTTTGTTTTGATTAAAAAAAAAATTGATTGTTACCATGTTATTGCCAAAGATTTTGCAATAACATGGTTAAATGACCATATATAATCACCTGCATGGGGGTGTGCAGCCACATTACAGAAAGAAGTCGTTTAAATGTTTTATACATTGAAATAAAAAATGGAACTTCGAAATGAAAACAGTGATATATTCTGAACAACACCGATCTATACTATAACATATACTGTATCAATGCCGAAGTGACCCTCAATTAGGCTGTTGCGGTATATTGATATACCGATAATTATCTTTTTTTATAAATACCGATTACTCGATATTGAAATTTTCGATATATCGGAATATCGATATTTTTCGGTATTATCGATATCACGTTTACGTTTGTATATTTAAACACCATCTCAAGCTTTTTCAAATGCTGATTGGAGTTATTTCAGAAGGGTAAAAGATGATCAATGTGTTAACTCTGCGGTAAAATCCGTAAATTAAGGTTAGAGCGAGATCTAAAACGTGTTTGTTTATACCTTGGGCTTGGCGTTGCAAGGTGTAATATGTCATCTCGTGCTTCATTTTTCGGTATTATCAATGCTAATAAGTAATATGCATTTTCAATTCTTAAAGCGGATATGTCACACAAATACCGCAACAGCCTACCCTCAATGAAAGTGTGTGTATGACAGTGCATGTAACCCTCTTTCGAAGAAATGATTTTCATTCAAAGGCGTTGAATCAGTTTCATACTGTAGGTCACTGCAGTGATCATATAGAAACTTCAAAAATGTAAACCCATGCATGCATGCAGTCAATATAAGTAGGAACGCAAAACCAAATTCGTTGCGCGGGGATGATTTGTATTACATCTACAGTTAATCAATGGACAATATATACACAAAAGAAACCTGGCTCTTTTATCTGAAATTGTTTTTTGACTTTAAGTACTAAATCGTATCATAACATTATAGCTATATACAAAAAAAGTTGGAATATATTAATATACATGCAAAACATTAATCGATCAAAATCCTGATGCTCGGCCGTTTCGTTTTATTATTTCAGGAATAACTTTTCTCAAGTGACCAATATACTTGGAACATTTGGCTGCCGTCATGGTAGTCCAAAAATCGTAAATGCCTTGTTTCAACTCAGCTTTTGTTTTCGGTTTTGCATACTTTCGCAGATAATGCTTCATCTCGTGCCATACACACTCGATCAGGTTAAGGTCTGGACTTTCGGGCTGAGTTGGCCAATAAATAACTTTCTCATTCTTTAAGAAGTCAACAGCAAGGTGACCTAAAACGATATATAAAATGACTTAGCAAATCGTGGAATATGACAAGATCAGCACAAATCTTTAAAAGCTACACTTACTTTTATGCTTTGGATCATTGTCTTGTTGAAATCTATAATTTCCATTGGGGAAACATTCCTTGATGAACGGTACAAGCTGGCCACGCAGAATTTTGTCCATGTAAAACTCTTTCCTCATAATTCCGGTAAACAAAAGGATGTCGCTTGCACCACGTGTACTGATCCCTGCCCAAACATGAATTTTGTAGGGATGTTTTACTTTCGGTTTGTGCTTCAGGAGTTCCCCAATTCGCCGAAAACAAATTTTCACATGTGTCTCCATCCAGACCGAACACTCATCAGTGAATATCACATCTGCAAAATTATCCTCGGTCCTACTTGCTTCCAGGCAAAAGTAGGCTCTTTAATTAAGTCCTTTACAATTGTAGCAGCAGCTTGACGCTTCAATTTATTTTTTTGCCGGCGTCTGGCACTTCTACTTTTTCCTTGTCCTTGTCTTTTTCTTTCACCAACTGACAATACTTCGGCCCCCTTTTGATCCTGCCTAGTTTACAGAATGCATAATCTGGCAGTAACCAGGTCATACTGATTTACATGACACGGCTAGATTATAGTCATAGAATAACCTGACATCATAGCTATATCTAACATAGTATTATTAATGCTAAACAACACCATGCATCTAGAATTATTTATATCACTTTGTAGTCTTTGTATTCCATATGACACGGTATACTATATTGGCAATCAACAAAACAACAAAGTGTTCTTACCTACGGCACATAGTTTGTCGTTTTTAGCCATTTCATTATCGATATATTCAAAGTGCTCGATTTTTAGCACCCTTTTACATTTACGTTCTTTAACTGCAGGCTTCAGATCTGTTCGCTCGTTAATGGAATGCTTGACAAAAGCCGAGATTGTTTGTCTGCTCACCGGACATCCATACAACTCTAATTCTCTGCTTATCTCCGAATAGTTTTTGCCCTTCTTGCTTAACATTAAAATTTGTTCCTTTGCATACGGCGGAATTCTCTTGCCTGACATCTTTGACTTCGTTCTTATAAGTGATGACCAGTAAATAGAATATATGTCTCTTCGGCTTTGCGTTATTGTGTATTAAATTCAGTAAATGTATAGACATCTGATACGCGCACATCATTAACGCAATACGCGCGTATATCGGACCAGACACATGGTATATTGGGATATACTGCAGTATATAAGCTTACCATATTATTATTCCCGTATATCCTAATATATGCGCGTATCCCGTAATTTTTATTTGAATTAAATGTAAATTAGTAAATAAGGTGGTGATTTGGCTTTTTAAAACATGCATGACCGTTTGAGCGTTCCACAATGAAACATACTGAAACTATTAAAGATGTAAATAATATAGTATTGCAATATTGCAATAATTTCAATATTGTTTTGGTTTCACCATACACTACTACAAATAAACATAAATTAGAAACACGTATTGATAAAGAGAATAATTTATATTTTATCGTTGTTTTGTCTTGACCTGAGTCTGTCGGTTGTCACGATTAGCAATTATAGCTTCAAATCTGTTGTCACTTGCACGTGTTTGCCACATATAAATAGTATAGAAAATAGTAAATGCTTACAAATTTAATATCTTATAAGCATCTATCCTATGTTTAGGGCATCTATCCTAGGTTTAGTGAAATTGTAATTGTTACATACACACCTATTGTATTTATGTTTGATACGCGTATATGCGAGTATCAAAATGTACTTTCGACCGTAGTTGATACGTCGACACGCATATTCATATGATACGCTACGTGTATGATTGCATACGCGTATTCATTGATATCATACACGTATTTGTATGATACGCGTATTCATATGATACGCATATGATACGCATATTCATGTGATATGCTATGCATATGATACGTGTGTGGTTAAGATATATACGCGACCGGTACTGTATATACACTAGATAGTGCATCTAATTTTTCTACAATTCAAAAATTGAAGCTGTGATTGCAGACTCAGGATATTCCCATGAAATGAGAATATTTGTATGTTTTCTATTATTTCTTAAACACAGAACTTAAATATTAAGGTAAACCTATTCCAAATACATTTTTAAACTATTCAAATGCTGAAAGTTATTGTTGTTTTTTTAGCGTTTATTAGCGAGTGGGAAACACCAACATGGCCGACATCTATTCAAATGGGGGTAACTGCTGGAATATTTTTTACTTCAATTTTACTAAAGGAGATGTGCTATCTAGTCTATATAAGATATCTATGCCTTACCCACTCTTTAAAAGGGCCTAAAAACGCTGCACAGTTGGTCAACCTTTTTAATTACATACAGTTGGACTATCAAAACAGCGTGATGTTTTTGGACATGCATGTACCTAATATGTTTGGATGGCTAATAGCAATAGTTATAATTCCTTTACCTAATTCAAATCCTCTATGCATGTCAACATGCATCTTATACCTTGGGCGTCATACACGTCCTATGTAGAATTTTTTAGTTATAATCAGCGATTAATGCACCAACTTATTCCCAGTCCCTATTTATTTTCATATGATCATTGGTTCCTTGTACAAGTAACACGAACATACTTGTCATGTTTTAATAGTATACTTTGTAAATATAATGATGGATAACTTGATTACTCCACATGACAAATTAAGACCTACTATAGATAACGATTGGACATATAATATCATTCCATTATATTCATCATCCTTGTTTGGCTTTGTTATATATGTACATGTTTTTTGGTTAATGTGTACTCATAAATCTATAAGAATAAACCCTGCACGGTGTAATTACCTCCGCCAGGAGGTTATGTAATCATTACCTCCGCCAGGAGGTTATGTAATCATCTGGGTTTGTATGTGTGTGTGTGTGTGTCTGTGTGTGTGTGTTTGTCTGTGAGCATGATAACTCGAGAAATACCAAACATATCCGTACGAAATTTTGTGAGTGCATTTCCCATCGGCTAAAGAAGAACTGATTAAAATTTGGTTG